GCTGTCACTGTACATTTAATTGCCCCAAAGCTCGTTCAAACTTTCTTTTTAAAGCTCCAATGTATAAACTGTCACAGATCGGTAACAATGTTAGCGAAAAACTTGATATTTATATGTCACCCGTTTAAGCCAATACTGCAAAAAGGAAGTATAGTATTCGAGTCCGTCAGGCGACTTTTTACTTTTACATTTTCTCAACTTTTCATGACCCCTAGGGGATGAAGAAATAGGTCGCACATTTCCGTCTGTCTGTCCGTATCTCTGCCCTCCCGGATTTACGAAAGTACTGGTCCGATTGTTGTCAAATTTTGTATTTATTTATTGTTAAATTAGGAATATCACGTAGATGGTAAAACGCTAACCAAAATATGTCTAACCATTCCCACCAATAATGTGATGACGTCACTTCAAAATTGTACGTAGTAAATGGCTTTTAAATTATATAAAATGACACAGTCCTACACATGTAGTTTATGACCAATTTAGTTTTTACCTGAAAGGTCCAGATTTTTGAAAACAAAATCAAGATTATAAAACAATATTTTGCAATTTAATTTGGAATCTGCAAAACCGAATGCTTTGAAATCTTGCAGATGGTTTACAGTTATGATAAGCATGGTTAATTTTTGATCAAAATGTATTTGCTCATGCCCCCCAAAAAAAAATTGATGACGTCACCTCAAAATATTGCTGAATAAATCCTATTTTAAATGTGTAAAATATGATCAGTCTATACTTGTAATTTATCATTGCGTTCATTTTTTTACTTCCCGAGCGTAAGCAAAGGAAGTATTGTAATCGAGTCCGTCGGAATCTCTACTTTTACGTTTTCTCGACCTTTCATGACCCCTACAGGACGAAAAAATAGGTCTCTCGTGTTCATCTGTCTGTCTGTCTGTCCGTTTGTCCGTCAGTCTGTCCATCTGTCCGTCTGTCTGCCGTCCCGGATTTTTATTAGGCAGATAATCTCCGAAAGTACTGGACCGATTGTTGTGAAATTTTGTAGTTATATTAGGAATATCATGTAGATGGTAAAACGCTAACCAAAATTTCTCTAATCATCCCCATCACTAATGCGATGACGTCACTTCAGAATTGTAGATAGCAAATGGGCTTTCATTTGTATAAAATAACATGGTCCTAAACATCTAGTTTATGACTCCGAATAGAGTTTTTACCCGAAACGTCCAGATTTTTGGAAAAAAAATCAAAATTATAAAACAATATTTTGCAATTTAATTTTGAATCTGCTGAACCGAATGCTTTAAAAGCTTGCAGATGTTTTAAGGTTATAAAGAGCATAATAATTTTTTTTTTAATTTTATTTTTTTGGATTTTCATATATAGGTTGTCTCAAAAAATTAATAAATGCATAAATGTATTTTATGGATCTAATCAGGAACTACAAAACCGAATGCTTTGAAATCTTGGAGATATTTTAAAGTTGTCATAAGCATGGGAAATTTTCGATCAAAATGTATTTGCTCATCCCCCTAAAAAATTGATGACGTCACCCCAAAATTTTCCTTAATAAATCCTATCTAAGATGTGCAAAATATGATGAGTCTGTACTTGTCATTTATCATTCCGTTAATATTTTTTGGATTTGCGTGTACAGGGTGACTCAAAAAAATTATCATTGTGTTTCAGGAACGTGGGAAGTTCTGTCGCAACAACTTTCGGTCAATTTTTTAGATTTGCTGATGCATGTTGACTGGAAAAAATTAATAAATCTGTCAATTTATTCTATTTCTGTACTATCTTGATGTTACCTAGGTATACTTTATGGGCAAAAAAAACCGAGTATGCTTACTTAATTTATTGGTCGTCCCTTCTGTGTTGAATGAAGAGACAGTTTCTTTTACTAGATATGCATGCATTTAATGCCATGGTTACGTATTTCAATGCCGGTGCTCATACGATATGACGTGCTAATGGTCGAATTCTTTCGAAACATAAACATAAACAAAACAGTTAAAGTTAAACAAGTACTAGGAATTAAGAATACATTGATTATCTGCTTTAAGTATATTTCATATTGTCCGCATTTGTTCAGACCGTGGAATTTACACCCTCGAAGCTCAGGGATTGAGGGGGTGTTATTTACCCTTCTGGAGCGAGAGAAGTTCTCTCGAAATAACCTTCCACCAATTTTTTTTAGTTTAATTTTGTTCAATTTTGACCTTGTTAGTATTAGATTTAAATTCGTAATATGTAATTATATTAATTCATTATGCTTAGCTGTAATTCTCCCTGTATTTGGGTGTAAGTCTTTTGGGCAATAAACCATTAATATTATTATTATTACTCCCTTTCTTCTCTTTATAATAGTTCATTTTGTGTTCTTTCGTTTTTTAGTGTATCGTTTTCCTTTTGCGTCTTTTTTATGATATTCCGAATAATAATTTGTCGTTACCTTTGTAATGCTCATGTCGATGAAATCTATCTTTGATTTTTCTCCCTCCTGTTTATTAATTATGTTTTTGATTCTGGTACTTGACAGTTTGTGTGCTTCTTAACGGTGTGTGGCAGTGTTTGGTATTGTTTCTTGTATAACTTTTCCATTTCTATTTTTTGCTCTTTACTACTTCCTTGCCTCTTTTGACCCCCAACGCGATTTTTAAAATCTTTTTATTATTTTAGTTCTTCCATAGTTTGATTGTTGTTATTGTAAATCTCTTGTTTAATCGTTTCATGGTTTTCTTGACAAAGTCGGCAACATTTATTTTTACTCCCAGATTTTGATATGTTTTGCGTTAATTTCTTGTACTTGAGGCGCAAATAAAAACTTTCCTACTTTGGTATTATACAAACTTTTTTTTCAGCTAAATCAATTTTGTTATTAAAATGACCTCGTCGAAACGTTTAAAAAATTTTCCGTCTAGTTGTTTTTGTTTAGCGGTTTTTTTTAAATTTCTGCTCTAGTTACCCATGACGCTTACGTCAGCAGTGTAACGTGTTGCGTAACTTGAAGTTAAAAGGTATATTTTGAGCAATCTGAATATCCAGCGTCATTTCAAAAAAGTTATGTTTTTCAAAGTTGATCCCATCAATATTTCAAAAGTTCTAAAAAATAAAAAAGCATACCCAATCTTTTATTTATAACAATTTAAGTCATAAAAATCACACTTACCTTACAACAACTTCTGGAAATGTTAACACTCAGCCTCTAGACAGAAACTGACTTTCGTTTCATATTTTCAAACACTGGGACACAAACCTCTGTCTCTGGTATAATTCGTTCACACTCTTTTCGAATTCGTGCTTTTAAGTTGTCGATGGTATGTAGAGCTTGTTTGAACATGGTATGTTTCAATATCGTGAACACGAAATCTGGTGTTCAAGCCTGGTAGATGTAGTGAATGTGGTAAATAATTAAATGGGCTGTTGTGTTGTCATGTTGAAAAAAAAAATGTAGTTCCTCAGAATCGAGTTGGCCAATGAATTCCTCATCATTCAATTAAACTAGTTGCAATACGTCAATTTGAAATATTAAATATACCTTTCGGTGTTCAAGTTACCCAATTCGTTTCACTGGTGATGTACGTATCATGAGTAACTTGGCCAGAAATTTAAAAAATCACCTGGTAGTACTTATTCTGACGTCTGCTTGTGTGAGGGGCTAAATAGTTCATTTCCTTATGACCATCTGGGGACATAAATACTTTTTCAATTCTGTGATTTCCTTTTTGTATGTGTTTTCGAAGTTCTGGAAACCTCTTCCTTCACTCTTTCCTAGGAACAAGAATTTCTCAATATTATTACCATTAATTCAAGTTTTGTTATAATCTGTGCTATTGTTACTGACAAACGCAATTAGTAAACCTACAGTTTCGTACTGGACAAGCTGTAGAACAAACAATTAGGCATTTGTTGCAATTATTCTATTAAAACTCTTTCTTGGGAAATAAACGTCATGAAGTTTGATTATTCGGCAGCCATTATATTCATAACTGTTTTATTTCTCGGAACAATAATGACAATAACAATACATTTTATCTTAAAATCAGACGATTAAAGTTGTGTAAACTGATTTCGAGTTTCATATTTTCGCTTTGTTGGCTTTGTATAATCATCATTTTATCTATACGCTATAAAAATATATCGCACTCACCCGAACGGGTAAAGACAACGTAAAATGTCAAAGTACTACAAGACACATTTTGTCGTAAAAATAAAACTATAAAAATAGCTTATAAACAGCAGCGGAATAAACTCCCATTGATTTTTTTGCGCTGTAATTTTACATCAAGAGAGACATAAAGATAAAAAGTAATAACAGCTTTGGAAGCTTTTTCTTTCTTCCCATTATAAAACCTAAAACCAGGTAACAACAAAGAATACATAGAAATGTAGGTGATGTTTATTTCATTGATTGGTATCTACAAAATAAAAGGCAGAAACATTACCGTATAAAGCAAGCAAATTTGTTACTCAAATACAATCACTAACCTAGTGGTAGTTTTCTATATACTTAATAAAATCGTGTTTCTTTGATGAAGTTTGTTTGACGGAAACACGAACTATTCATAAATAAAAACGAATATTTATAATCGTAGAATAAATTTAGAAAAGTGGAAAGTCTGATAAACTTTGCAAATTAGCACGCAAAAAAGTCTACAACGCATTTTATCGTTCCACAACGCTGGAACATCACGTTATAAATTTATGTTCTCATTACTCAGACAGACAGCTAATGTGATTTTATTTACTTGTTTGTTTATTCTTGATAAGCCCCCGAACCGCGCAGCAAAAATGGGGGTATCCAATTTCACAATGGGTCAGGCATTTCCATTGTTAAACCGTCTAGAATGTGATCTTTATCGGAAAACTGTATTTGCTTCAGGCTGAAATGCGGCTGGAAAAGCTTTGCGAATACATAATTTCGAGAAAAAAATCACGTGACAGCCCACTCCATATTCCTGAAACTTTTATTATCAAGTTTTAAATCAATTTTCATTTGGACTTATCTCTCCTGAATACTTTCCTTTTATTTTCAGTATTCTGTACGCTGACATCGTGGGATTTACAGCCATCTCTTCAACTTATTCAGCTCAAGAACTAGTGAAAATGCTGAATGAATTATTCGCCAGATTCGACAAACTTGCCGAGGTGAGGACTTATTTTGGAAGGAATTCTCATATCTATGCATATTTCGCTGAAATTCTGAAAATATATTTAGTATTAGATTTGCGGGAAGTTTGAAAACTAATCTCGGCATTTTATCAAGCGGGAAATGTAAGTTTAATTAAGAATTTTTCCATTCGCAGAAGTATCAACAGCTAAGGATCAAAATCTTAGGTGACTGTTATTATTGCATCAGCGGTGCGCCGAGGGAAAGACCGGATCATGCTGTTCTATGCGTCCACATGGGATTGTCGATGGTCAAAGCAATAAAGTAAGTTTTTGATTACGCTTTTGATGTTGAGTTATATATATGTTAGTGTGCTAGTGGTAGGTTGTCTTGGGATTATTGATTTCTGTACAGTTTGACGGCTGCCAAGCGTCTCTATAAAAGAAGTTATAAGACAAAAATTTCTTAGTAGATTGGATTTATATGTTATCAGGAGTGTGCTCTTAACTAATAAATCTATTTGACGGTTCCATCTAAAAAACTTGAGTAATAACGTCATTTCAGTTTTATGAAGTAATACACTAAACCAAATATAAACAAGTCGAGGGTGTGATTTCGTAACATATGCATTCGAATTAAAGGCAGTGGCGGAGCATAGGTGATTAACTTTTAGTGCTATTTGAAAATTTGTTTTCAACACCACTGGGAAATCTGCTGCAATGTAAGCCGACTATGACTGGAAGAAAAAAAAATCATTCGAACCACGTGTTTATACTTAGTTATTAGATTTGATGTAGTTAGAGTTGTTGGTGAATTTGTGTAACGTGGAAACAAAGGTTCGTCAAATGGAATAATAAAGCGAAATAGTCCAACTTATAAAATATGTACAAGTTGTTTGATTTATATCTACATTTATTACAGTTTTATTTTGTAGATATTTGTTTTGAAGTCATTTTGATTGATTGATTGAAAGGACACACTTTGTAGGTTCCAGTGCGGAAAAGTATCCATTTGGTTAAATGTGGTATAATATAGAACACGTTCTTGATTAATGCGTATCGTCAGTTAATTTTAATTTTGTGTTCAGGAATAATAATATTTTAACTTTGATTATTAAGTGTCATTTGGCTTAGTCAGTTACAAAAGCCCAACTTTTCCTTTTCCAACCTCAAACAAAAGTTGACAACTAAGAATTGTTATAATGAATAAAACAATAATAAAACATAGGAAAAAATGCCATACTAAAAAATTCTTAAAAATAGTTCGGTTTTTCGGGGAATGATATACATATTTTAGTTGCTTTTTCTGGATCATTCTCCAATAGTTTTGGATTCAAAAATGAACATATAATTTTAAATATATTAATTGTTATATATATCCATCCGAGGAAAGGTTATTTTCATGTTTTCTGGACGTTACATAACTTCTAGATCAGACAGTGTGTTAGGAATGTCGTGTAGACATAACTAACCATAATTTATGTTATCATCCCCATCAAAACAGTAATGACGTCAGATTAAGATTTTGCTTAGTGAACGCCATTTAAATTTTATAAAATAATATACACTTGTGTGTATGGTTTATGAATCCGCATTAATTTTGTTTATAATTGTTACGATTTTGATTGCTTTTTTTAGTCTCATAGTACGTAGCTGTGTAAATACACTGCGACGAATGGCGTTCGATTGTCAGTTATGTTTCATCTCTTTTTTTGGATTAAATCAAGAACGTTTCACCTCATTTTAACAAAAATGTGAGACTGCAGCAATTTCACGCCCGCCTATACTTAATATCAATAAAATAATTATTATAATAACATCTTCTCGCCCAAAATAATATTCGATCCGTTTTACTCTATTCTAGCTTAATTAATTACTGAATTAATTATTTATCTTCTCTGCTTTGAGGAGGCGAATCGATCAAATTTCAATTTTTGTAACTATAACACTCGCCGCTGATGCTTCTTATCTGAACGTGCTAATAGTCGAATTCTTTTATAAAATAAACAGTTGAAGTTAAGCATATACTGAGAAATTGAGAATACATTTTTCCTCCTTAGTCAACTGTCAGCACAAAGCAAAAATGAAAAAATCAAAGTTTATGTTTTTTCAAAAAAGCGAGATTTATTGGACTGTACTTCAGGGGCGAGCGAAGGTAAGTAAGATTTATAGTCAGGTAGATTTATAGTCACCAATCAAAATTTAAGTATGGTGGAGAACATCGATTGATGGTTTCTAACACCATTAATTAAAAAAAATCGATAATGGAAAAAAAATCTTTTCTTATTTTTATACTCTTATTTTTTATTTCATCACTTTCTATTGCATAATCTTCATTCCATATGTCACACTCTTACTGTTAATTTAAGAATTACGTTTGAAGGTTATTTTTGTTCAGTGTTAAATACCGTCACAGTTAACTGAGAAGAAATGCTTTTTTTGGGGTTGTTTTTTTACTTCCCGAGCGTAAGCAAAGGAAGTATTGTAATCGAGTCCGTCGGCCGACTCTCTACTTTTACGTTTTCTCGATCTTTCATGACCCCTAGAAGACGAAGAAATAGGTCTCCCATTTCCGTCTGTCTGTCCGTCTGTCCGTCTGTCCATCTGTTGTCCCGGATTTTTATTAGACAGATAATCTCCGAAAGTACTCGACCGATTGTTGTGAAATTTTGTACTTATATTAAGAATATCATGTAGATGGTAAAACGCTAACCAAAATTTGTCTAATCATCCCCACCACTAATGCGATGACGTCACTTCAAAATTGTACATAGTAAATGGGTTTTCAATTGTATAAAATAACATAGTCCTCTACACATGTAGTTTACAACTCTGAATCGACTTTTCACCCGAAACGTCCAGATTTTTGGAAAAAAAATCAAAATTATAAAACAATATTTTTAATCTGCTAACCAGAATGCTTTAAAATGTTGCAGATGTTTTAAGGCTATAAAGAGCATCATAAATCTTAAGTCAAAAAATATTTGCTTATCCCCTCCAAAAACTTGATGACGTCAGCTCAAAAGTTTGTGGAATAAATCATATCTAAAATGTACAAAATATGATGAGTCTGTACTTGTGATCTATCACTCCATTCATATTTTTTGGATTTGCATATACAGGGTAACTCAAAAAAATTAATGAATGCGTAAATATATTTTATTGATTTAATCAGGAACTACAAAACCAAATGCTCTGAAATCTTGCAGATGTTTTAAGGTCATAAAGAGCATAAAAAATGTTTAGTCAAAATATATTTGCTTATCCCCTCCAAAAACTTGATGACGTCAGCTCGAAAGTTTGCCCAATAAATCATATCTAAAATGTACAAAATATGATGAGTCTGTACTTGTCATTTATCACTCCATTCATATTTTTTGGTTTGCATATACAAAGTGACTCAAAAAATTAATGAATGCGTAAATATATTTTATTGATTTAATCAGGAACTACAAAACGGAATGCTCTGACATCTTGCAGATGTTTTAAGGTTATAAAGAGCATAATAAATGTTTAGTCAAAATATATTTGCTTATCCCCTCCAAAAACTTGATGACGTCAGCTCGAAAATTTGCCGAATAAATCATATCTAAAATGTACAAAATATGATCAGTCTGTACTTGTGATCTATCACTCCATTCATATTTTTTGGATTTGCATATACAGGGTGATTCAAGAAAATAAATGAAAGCGTAAATTTATTTTACTGATTTACTCAGGAACTACAACACCGAATGCTTCGAAATCTTGAAGATATTTTAAAATTATCATAAGCATAGTAAATTTTTGATCAAAATGTATTTGGTCGTCCCCCCTAAAAAATTTATGACGTCACCACAAAATTTTGCTGAATAAATCCTATCTAAAATGTACAAAATATGGTGAGTCTCTTCTTGTGATTTATCATTCCATTCAAATTTTTTCGATTTGCATATACAGGGTGACTCAAAAAAATTAATGAATGCGTAAATTTATTTTATCGATTTAATCAGGAACTACAAAACCGAATGCTTTGAAATCTTGCAGATGTTTTAAGGTTATAAAGAGCATAATAAATTTTTAGTCAAAATATATTTGGTTATCTTCTACAAAAAACTGATGACGTCAGCTCAAAAGTTTGCCGAATAAATCGTATCTAAAATGTACAAAATATGATGAGTCTGTACTTGTGATTTATCATTCCATTCATATTTTTGGATTTGCATATGCAGGGTGACTCAAAAAAATTAATGAAGGCGTGAATTTATTTTATCGATTTAATTAGGAATTACAAAACCGAATGCTTTGAAATCTTGGGAATATTTTAAAGTTATTATAAGCATGGTAAACTTTTGTTCAAAATGTATTTGTTCATCCCTCCTAAAAAAATTGATGACGTCACCCTTAAATTTTGCTGAATAAATCCTATCTAAAATGCAAAAAATATGATGAGTTTGTACTTGTGATTTATCATTCCATTCATATTTTTTAGATTTTCTTAAGAGGTGGTTCAAAAAAATTAATGAAGTCAATTTATTTTATTGATTAAATTAAAGGCAACACTTATTATTAGTATTACACCTCAACCAACCCAATTTGGTAGACACAAAATTTGTTAAAGGAAAAACTCGGTTGAAACATAAGGGTAGCACGCTTATTTACATCGACTTTAACATTACAGACCTGCATTTGTTTTATGCGATCACTTGGTTCCGCGAATGTGAAATAGACATGTTTATAATCAACCAATTGTGAATTTCACCGTCAAGAATTAAAATAAAACCCAATGTTTTATATAGTAAGCGGAAGTCGAAGCAATAAAACCGATGGTCGTTTTGTTTACAGTTTCTCTGTTTGACTCTCACGTATGCTGTTACGCTTGTCATCTTAAATTAAGAATGTTTATACATAAACGATTTTCAGTTGCTGTATACGTGAGTAAATTGTTTCGTTATTTTATTGATTATAAAAAATCAATATTCAAAACGACCCAATTCATTTTCCCGAAAATTTGGGAATACAATAATTTTATTCTTAGTATTACACTACATCTATCCCAACTGATATACGTGTCCTTGCAAAAATGTTGACGTCATCGCAATTTTTTTTAAATTCCCACTACAAAAATGTAATGAGAAAAAAACACAATAGCCATGCAGTCGTCAAGTTTCCGACAGCGAGGGAAGTACTGTCTAAACTCTTTAGACCAATTTTTTTCTTTTCTCTTATTGCTTAAAAAATCAAAATAAATTGAATTTTGTGTTTCGAGAGTTTTGGCACTGTCAAAATAGTGCTTTATTTTTAAATTTGATTATGTAAATGTAAAAGCTGAACACAATCCATCAA